GGTGTTTTGCGCGTCGGTGTGCACACTCACATTGGCGCCCTTTGTTTAGTCATAATCTATCGCGCGCGATAATCGTCCCGGTGTGCACAAGCCTTGAAACGTCAATCCCCTGTGCTACATGTGTGTTCCTGTGGATTATTAAAGACTGTTGATGGTAATTCTCCTGCGTTCTCCTCATTCCTCGCTCCAACACAGTAGGCATCGTGATAGATAGATAGATAGATAGATAGATAGATAGATATTAAATATTTCAAATAAAATAACATTTAAATTATAATATAATAATATTTTAAATAAATTAAAATATGTTAATTAAATACAATTTTGATTTTTATCTGTGAGAAAGTAAGTCCGATTAGTTTGGAAAATAAAATAAAAGTTTTTTTTTATAAATTAAAATATTAAAACAAATATATATAATAATATTTTAAATGAATTAAACTATTTTAAATGATTTTGTTATGTTGCCTATGAGAAAGTAAGTGACAATAGTTTGGAAATTAAAATAAAATATTCTTTATATAAATTAAAATATTTAAATAAATATATTATAATATTTTAACCAAAGTAAAATATTTTTAATGATTTTTAATGTTGACAATGAGAAAGTAAGATTAAGAGAGATTAAGAGATTAGTTTGGAAAATAAAAGAAAATATTTCAAATTTATTAATGAACAGTAATTTAATTTATTGTTTTATTTATTGTCATTAAAGGTAAAGGTGGAAAATAATATTTTAAGTATATTTTGACAGTTGACGATGAGAAAGTGAGTCAGATTAGTTAGGAAAATAAAATAAAACATTTTAAATTTATTAATCGGCAATAATTAAATTTATTGTTATTAAAGGTAAAGGTGAAAAATAAAGCAAAATAGTTAGGAGCCTTAGTTTAGTTAATGGTTTCGTCGGTCGTGTCTCTCTGTGAGTTTTGACTCATTGGACTCATTTTTGTCCATGAGGATTATTTGCTCGTTTGTGATAAAAAAAAAGTGTCATTTGCATTTCTGACAATCTCTTTATTGTCATGCATCGGTACTCGAGAGAGGAACAAACACACTCACACACACACACTAACACTCTCACACAAACACACACACACACACACACACACGCACACACTCTTAACACTCTCTCACACACACACAAACACACACACACATGATCATCTGAAACGGTCGATCACTGATTGTGTACTTTGACTAAATGTGTGTGTTTCTGTGTGTTTTGTTCAGCGTTTGTGTTCTCCGGTCGATCATCTTCAGAAACGAGCTGCTTTTATGCATAATGAGCTTCATTAGAAAACATTAGTCTAATGAGCTTTACTCCTTTTCCCCTGTCAGCGATTGACTTTAGCTTCAGCATTAGAATATGTTTGCTTAAAGCTTGTTAATTAAATATCCGATAATTGCCACACCTGCGCAAACACACACACACACACACACACACACACACACACACACACACACAATGCAAAGAGAAGCAAATTACAATCAACAGACGTGTTAATAACACTCAAGTGTGAGTCTGTTTGTCACTTTTTCTGTTTCTCTGTTCTCTTCTTTTTCCTCTGTCTTTATCTCCTCCTCTCTTTCTCTCTCTCCATCCGTTCCTCTCGTTTCTCCTTCAGTTGGATTCTGTCAGAAGTGCTTTGTTGGCGCGAGAAGTGGCTTGTGCTGCCAAACTGCGTTGTGATTAAAATGCTAACGTCGTGTGTCGCGGCTTAAATATCGGTTTGTCTTTTCAGAGCTGTAATTGAGCATTAAGACACTCTCAGCTGCTCTTCGCTGAACATGAACACGACTGAATGCTGTTGAGTCGACATTCACTTATTAGACAACACTCTGACTTGTAGGTTGTTAGTTTAGACTGCTTTATTGGCATAGAATTGCAACTTAGCTTGACAGTGACAATAGCATTCAAAAGTTTGGAGTCAGTAAGATTTTTTTACTCGGTTTAAAAAAGCCTCTTCTGCTCACCAAGGCTGCATTTACTTGATCAAAAATAGTGAAATATTATTACAGTTTAAAATGGCTGTTTTCAATGTGAATATATTTTGAAATGTAACTTATTCCTGTGATCAAAGCTGAATTTTCAGCATCCAAAAAATTAAAGAAAGAAATGTGAAATAGTTTAAATAAAATAAAGTAAAAAGTGAAATTAACTCTCAGAGTAAAACTAGAAATCACTTCGGTGGTCTACTTAAAAAAATGAGAAACTGTTTGCTTTTTTATTTTATTTTTCTATTTAAGAAATAGAAAAAACACAAATCAGATTTTTAAATGTTCATATGATCTAATTTTGTAAGTGACTTTTCTTTCTGTTTTAAATATGTTTTCTTTGGATTGTTTGACTACTCAAAAGAGAATTTAGAAAAATATAACTTAACAAATTAATCTGTGTTTCCTGCTAGCTAAATTTCACACAGAGAAATACAAATCTGGCTCTTAACCTCTCTTTTCTTTATTTAAAGTTGGTCAATACAAGTATATGGAAGTTATCTAAAGTTCTGTTCATCCTAAAGCAGTGACAACTGCATCTCTGTATTCATCTGTGTGTCCTCTTGAGGTGAAAAAACATGGTTACTATAGTTAATCACAAATTAACCATGGTTTTGCTACACTAACCATAGTTTAACCACACATCTATTAAATGTTTTCTAGCGTATCTCAGATAATATGAATGGTATGATGATCTTTTTCAGATGCAGCCCAAATTACAACAACAGTGGTTACACATTATATTTAATTGTTTGATTAAAATTATTGCTAGGGACAATTTATTAGTCGCTGGATATTCGTAGAGACATGTCATAGCATCTCTACTAAATTCTACACCATTTGGAATGAAAACATGTTACCTGTGAGGTTTTTCTTAAACGTGACCCTGCAGCACAAAAGCAGTCTTAAGTCGCTGGGGTATATTTGTAGCAATAGCCAACAATACATTGTATGGGTCAAAATTATACATTTTTCTTTTATGCCAAAAATCATTAGGATATTAAGTAAAGATCATGTTCCATGAAGATATTTTGTAAATTTCCTACCGTAAATATATCAAAACTTAATTTTTGATTAGTAATATGCATTGCTAAGAACTTCATTTGAACAACTTTAAAGATGATTTTCTCTTTTCTTATTTACACACCAGAATAAAATCAGCAACCGCGAGTATCATAGTTTATTCCGTGTCGTTTTAGATCACATACAGTAAAGTCAAATGCATATTCACTGACTGTTGTCTCTCTCTCTGTTTTTCTCAGGGTTCTTCATAACTACATGTTGTGGCGTATCGTGGCGGCGCTGAGCGAGCATCTCTCCACCGCGTTTCGCAGCACGATTCACGAGTTCTCGCGCGAGATCGACGGAGGCGAGCGGCAGCTGGATCTGGAGCGGCTGTGTCTCAATCAGGCCAACAAACACTTCGGCATGGCCCTCGGCGCGCTCTTCGTCCAGCAGCACTTCTCCTCCTCCAGCAGAGCCAAGGTGAGCAGCACTGAGCTCAGCTCACTACACTGGCTCACATCTTCCTCCAAAAACACCTTGAATCCGTCGGCCTGCTCTTATACAGTAAGATTATACATGAACGTGGAGCAGCTCTGATTTTCAAATAGTTGTATCTCGGCCAAATATTGTCCTATCCTAACAAACCATACATCAATGGAAAGCTTATTTATTAATTTCATAAAATTGACTCTAATGACTGGTTTTGTGCTCCAGGGTCACATTTGAGTTTACATCAAGATCTGTAACTTTTGAATACAGACTGCAAGTCTGTTGCTGGATTCACGAAGATAAGATTTCTTAAGATAAATTCCTCTTAAGATAAATTTCATGCAATTCAATCTTGTCAAAGACTCACTGATCAGCTCGATGAAAAACAGATTAAAAATCATAATAAGCGCACACACTTTTCAATGCAACGTGTTTTTTAAATAGTTATTTTGTGCTGAATTCTGGCGAAAAGTGTTGTAATTATAAACGTAAAAGTTATTTGAGTACCTGTTTGAGTTTGATTTGTAGAGCTGTTACTGAACTTGAAAAAAAATCAGTTCACACATAATAATAACTGATCATTGGTTATTATGATTCACAACCCAATTATTTGTAGCTAGTATTTTGCTGTAATGCGTTAGAATTGAAACAACCCAACAAATTAATTTAAGACAAGTTTGAAGTTATTCTAACCAGGGTTATTATGGAAAACATTTTTGTTGCTTGAAATAAAATAAATGTTAATTGAAATAATATAAAATAAAATAAAATGTTAAAAACTTACTTCAGCTAGTTGCCCAGGAAACATTTCTCATTTTAATTTAGTTCAACCCGATGTACTAAAATAACAAACTAAAGCTGAAATAAAAATGAATAAAAACTATACAGACATGTGTTTAAAAAAAAAAAAAACAAAGATGACAAAAACACTCAACAAAATTACTAAAACTTTAACTAAATGGAAAATATATAACACTGGTCGTAAAGTTATTTACAGTGATTTTTAAACGGAATTTAAATTCCTCTTAAGTTGTGTCTTTAGAACAATCTTAGGAAAACAGATAAGAACATTCTTAAGAATTTTTTTTAGAACACAAAATATGAATAATGATATTCTTAAATTAGAAAATAAGAATAAAATAGATTAATATTGAATAAAACACGGTATAACAACTTCCTTTTTTGTTGATAATTTCTGTACTTTTTTAGGTTTCATTTACACATGTGGTGTTCCTACAAAGCTGCATATCATTTTCGTTATGCTATGCTGTTAATAAAAGATTTATCCGTACAAATTTTGGATTTTGTTTCTCAATTATCACATTGATTTACATTGTGATAAATCACATTGTTTCATTGATTTAATCTCATGCACCTCAGTTTTTAAGTGAACATTGTCCACAAATAATGTTTTTTTTTTCCCCTCAGAAAGGTGCATAAGCTCAGATAAATTCAATATTTGGTGATAATACAGCATGAGAGATTTCTGAGCAGTTTCTCAGATCACTGGGGTCTTTTTTCAGGAGCTTCAGCAACTTCAGTCTCTACTTATATAATTGAGATATCGAGGCCTCATTTCTAATTTCTATTTCCTATAGAAAAGTGCCAAGCAGGAATACGAGATGTTGTTTTGCGTCTCACCTTCCTCTTTCCTTTCTAATGCAGTCGATCTGTTTCTCTTCCACGGCCCAGTGTTTGTTTACCTTTCATCGCGCTTCCTTCCTCCCCTGCTCTTCTCAGATAGATAGAATGAATGATGGATGGATCAAATCGCACTTCTTTTGAGGAAGACGTCGCTCCCAGATGGTTTGCGTGGCGGGGTGTATAGATTTGTGGAAATCCTCAGTCAAAATGTCACTTTTGTCAGACAAGTGCAGACTTTTTCCAGCTTGCCGTGGGTTTCATACTGTTTTTGAGCACAAGAATCATCCGAACCTCTTTAAAGTTTCTATTAAAGGACTAAATCATCCACAGATGGCTTACTTCCTTTAATGGAATTTTTGTTAAATATTCCTGTTGCTCTTTTACACACACACTGTCATTCAAAAGGTTTGGGGTTTTAGAAAGAAGTCTCTTCTGCTCACCAAGGCTGCATTTATTTGATTTTAAGTACACTAAAAATAGTGAAATATTATTATAATTTAAAATAGATGTTTTCTACGTGAATATGTGTTAAACTGTAATTTATTTCTGTGATGCGCAGCTGTATTTTCAGCATCATTCCTCCAGTCTTCAGTGTCACATGATCTTCAGAAATCATTCTAATATGCTGATTTTTAATATTTGAGGTCGTCTCGTGTAATTCTGGCAGCAGATGACCAGCTTTTAAACGAAGGTTTCACTTGACTTGCTTTTCTAATTACAAGTGTGAATGATTTTTGTCACTGAAAAGTCTCCACTGCTTATTAAATTAACATGAAGGTTAAAAGATATTAAGCGGCCCTCATAGAAACGGCACTGGTCTGATATAATATATGGGTCAGGGTTAATATAGTTCACTGAAACTAAAATTAAACCGTGAATAAGTTTTCATTACTTTAAAGGTCCCATATTGTCAAAACTGAAATTTCCCGGTGTTTTTCACGATAACTGAGGTCTAGGTGCTATTTAACTACCATATAAGTTTCAAAACAGTCAGTCCACAGTAAAATGCACACAGCCTGCATAAAGTAGCTGTGATTGTTCACGAACCGTTGTGACTTCCGTAAAAAGTTGACGTCAGAACTACACAGTCACCGCCTTCAGTCACCCCCCCGAGCACCGCCCACCGTCCCACTCTCCTTTTGCCAAACCCCAGAACAACATCACGTCCATGCCATTGCTGACTGAGCAACAACAACACGGAAACATGTCGAAAAGGTTAACTTTAACCACGAAACCAGATCGGCCGAACTGTAACGTTACACTCTCACTCAAAGGATGGACGATCTGACAGGATTGTTACTATGAGGTGGGTCACATCTAACGTGTATAGTAAAGACAAACTCACCGTGTCTATCTAGTCATGATGAAGATGTATATACATTTCAATTTCAGCAGGCAACTATTTTTACAGCTACATTATTGTTCCAGCCACTATTAATCACAACAATGTATATACAATTACAAATG